TATTCAGTTTTTCATTTCATCAGCATTTCATAATTTTCTGCATTCATGTCCTATACATATTTTTGTTATAGTTTTACCTAATCACTTTATTTTTTATGCTATTGTAAATGATATTTGTATTAGGGTTCTCCAGAGAAACAGAAAAACAGAAACATCATCGTGTGTGTGTGTGTGTGTGTGTGTGTGTGTGTGTGTGTGTGTGTGTTTGGGGTGGGGAGAGAGGAAGATTTAAAGGAATTGGCTCATGTAATTGTGGAACCTTGATAAGTGTAAATATGCAGGTTAGGCAGCAGGCTGGAGACCCAGGGAACAAAGAGTTGGAGTTGGACTGCAAAGGCCATCTGCTGGCAGTACATTTTCTTGCTTATAAAAGGCCAGTCTTTGATCTATTAAAGGCTTCATTTGATTGGATGAAGCCTACCCACATTCTATCCATTTAAATGTTAATCCGAAAAATGCTTTCACAAGAACATCTAGAATGTTTGACCAGATATCTGGGCACGGTGCCCCAGTCAAGCTCATACATAAAATTAACCATTTCAGTATTGTCTTTTCTAATTTCAAATCCTAATTTTTAAATTTCTGGTATAAGAGAAAGCAATTGACTTCTGTACCTCATGCACATATCCTGAGACCTTGTTCTATGTGTTTATTAGTTCCAGGAGTGTTTTTAATTGGACTTTTCTACATAAAATATTATATCTGTGACTAAAGACAGTTTTACATCTTTCTTTCTAATCCAAATACATTTATTTCTTTTTCTTTCTTTACTGCGCCATCTAAAACTTCTAGCACAATGTTGAATAGGCATGGTGAGAGAGGGCACTGTTGCCTTGTTCCTGATTTTGAGGGGAAGAGTCCACCCTGTTTTCTTTAAATATGCTGTTAGCTTTCGGCTTTTAATAAAATTTTTAATCAGCTTGACTATATTTTCTCTGCTTCTAGTTTGCTAAGAGTTTTATGATAAATGGATGTTGGATTTTGTAAAATGCCTTTCTCTGTGTTGATTGATTTGATCAGATTATTCCTTTTCTTTAGCTTATTGATATGCAGGATTACATTAATTTATTGTTTTATTTTTGAGTCTTGAACCAGCTTTGAATGTTTGAAATAAATCCCACTTGGTTGGGATGTGTAATTCTTTTTGTACTTGGACGGATTTGATTTTCTAGTATTTTGTTGAAGTTTTTCATCTATATTTATGAGAGATATCAGTCTGCAGTTTTCCTTTTGTTTCATGTCTTTACCTGATTTAGGTGTTTGGGTAATCTGGCCTCATACCTGAGTTAGGAAATGTTCCCTCTGTTTTTGGAAGTTGTTATAAAGAATCGTACTATTTCTTTTTGAAATGTTTGTTAGAATTTACCAGTGAAATCATCTGATACAGTACAGTGCTTTCTTCTCAAGAAGGTTATAATTTATTGATTCAATTTCTTTAATAAATAATGCCTGTTCAAGTTGCCACTCTCTACTTGTGTGAGTTTTGGTAGTTTGTCACTCTCAAGAAATTTATTTATTTCATGAAAGTTATCAAATTTGGAAACAGAGTTGTTCATAGTATACCTTTATTATTCTTATGCCAAGGGGATTTATTATTGAATATTATTTCAATTCTTATATTGATGATTTACATTCTCTCTCTTGCTTTTGGTAATTCTGGCTTTAGATTTATTAATTTTATGATCTTTTAAAACAACTCACTTTTTGGTTCTTTGATACTTTTGCTGATTTCCACAAATTTCACTACATTGTATTTTCATTTTCATTTACTTTTCAAAGTATTTTAAAATTTCTTTGAGACCTGTTTTTGACCTATGGGATATTTAAGAGCACATTATTTAGTTTACAAATACTTGAGAATTTTCCAGCTATCATTCTGTTACTAATTTCTAATTTAGTTCCATTGTAGTCTGAGAACATGCTTTGAATGAGTTTCTATTTTTTCAAACTTAAGGTGTTTTTCAAGGGCCAGAATGTAACCTATCTTGGCAAATATTCCCTGTGAGCTTGAGAAGAATGTGGATTTTGTTATTGCTGACTGAAATATTTTTTAAAATGTCAATTAGATTAAGTTGATTGATAGTGCTGTTCAGGTTATTCACATCTTTACTGATTTTCTGCCTGCTTAATCTATCAATTCTGGCAGTGGCATGTTTAAGTTTAACTATAATAGTGGAGCTGTTTATATCCCTTTCGGTTTGGTCAGCTTCTTCCTCATGTATTTTGACGCTCTGTTGTCTGACATATTCATGTTTATAATTACATCTTCCTTGAAAATTGACCCTTTTCATCACTGATCTTCCCTGTTCTGAAGAATGCTATGTTTGAAATTATTACAGCTATTCCTGCTTTTTCATTCATGAGTGTCAGCATGTTACAACTTTCTCCATTCCTTCAATTTTAATTTTTCTGAGTCTTTGTATATAATATGTGCTTTCTGTAAACAACACATAGCTGGATATTTAAAAACAAACTCATTTGACAATTTTCTAAAAATAATTTCTCAAGCTATACGCTTTAAAGTGCTTATTGGTATAACAGGATGAATGTCTACTATGTTGTTAACATTTCTCTATTTACTCCATTCATTCTTTTTTTTTAAATTTCCTTTTTCTGCTATCTCTTGTTTTATTGAGCATTTTATATAATTCTATTTTATCGTTTCTCTGAGCATGTCAATTTTAATTCTTTTAACATTTTTTTCATGTTTGCCTTAGAGTTTACAGTATTTATTTTTACACGATCAAAAGCAACTTTCTAATACCACTGTACCTTGTCACATGCGGTGCAGATGCCTTATGCTAGAGCAATCCCAACGCACCTCTCCTATCCCTTGTGATGCTGTCATTTATTCAACTTCACTGTGTGCTATAATCTCCCAGTGCATTGTTACTGTTATTACTTTAAGCTGCCAGTTATCTTTCAGATAAATTAAGAATACAATCAATTAAAATATGTTGCTTTCATTTATTCCTTCTCTGACAGTCTTCATTTTAAAAAATGTAGATCCTGGTTTCTGATCTCTGTCCTTTTCTTTCTGGACACAGAACTTCTCTGAACATTCTTGCACGGTTGGTTTGCTGGCAATGAATTATCTCAGTTTTTGCTTGTCTGACAAGGTATTTGTTCTTCATTTTTGAAGGATAATTTCATGGGATATAAGCATTCTAAATTGGTTGTTTTATTTCCTTCCATCACTTGAGATACTTCAATCCATTTTCTTCATATTTGCATAATTTATGATGAGGAACACTGTCATGTTTATCCTTGATTTTCTATAGATAAGGTTTTTCCCTCCACCCCGATTTCTTTCCAGAATTTTTTCCTTGTCTGATTTCTTGAACTTTGAATGTTCAAGAAAACTATGCCTATGAAGGAACATATGTGTGTTTTGGTATTAATCCTACTTGGTGTTCTCTAAGCTTCTTAGATGTGGGTCTTGGTATTATCCTTAATTTTGGAATGATCTGGGCCATTATTACTTTAAATATTTCTTCTGATGAGTTCTCTTTTTCTTCTCCTTCTGATATTCCAATTACACATATGTTACAACTTTTGAAATTGTTCCCAAATATTTGGGTGTCCCTTACTGTTTTTGTTGTTGTTATTTTTGCTGTTCGTCTGTTGTCTTGTTTTTGGTTTTGTTTTGTTTTCACTCTTCTTTTTTGGTCTGGAAGTTTCTATCGAAATAGCTTCAAGCACACTGATTCTTTCCTTGGCTGTGTCTAGTCTGTCACAAGCCCATCAGAAGGATTTTAAAATTTCAGCTACAGCGCTCCTGATTTCTAGCATTTCCTTTTAATTCTTTCTTAGAATTTTCATCCCTCTGCTTGCATTACACATCTGTTTTTGCATGTTGTATAATTTTTCCACTAGTGTTCTTAACATACTAATCATGGTTATTTTAAATTCCGTGTCTGCTAATTCCAACATCTGTGTCATCTCTGAGTCTGATTCTGATGGTTACTTTGCCACTTCAGACTATTTTTTTTTTCTTGCCTCTTTGCATGCCTTGTAATTTTTTTTTGAAGGTTGGATAAAAAGAATGAAGTTTCTTAGGCCTTTGTGTGAGTATTCATGTGAATCTGGCTGGGAGCCAGGCTGCTGTTTTAATGTTTGCTGTGGCTCTAGGTGTTAGAGGCTTCAAATTCCCCTAGTGTCCTTGTTTTTTTTTTTTTTTTTTTTTTTTCTTTTTTTTTTTCTTTTTGCTTCTTTTTTAACTCTCCTTCGAAAGTCTGTGACTTGCAGCAGTTTTAGTTGTGCTCCACTGCTATATGGGAGCTCTGCCGGGAGTGGGAGGTAAGGGGCAGAGGAGGAGGCATGTCTGTAAGGTTCTAACTGAATGTTGGTGACTTGGTGGGCTTGTATCTGTGGGCTGTGACCTTCACCAGTGTTTCTTCACGGGATAGATTTCCCCTGCTTCCTGGCTGTAGCATTGCCAATTTATTTCCTTAAAGCCTGGCCCCTCGTGACTAGTTTTCCCTTTAAGTGAACAATAGCTAGAGATTTATTAATGCCCTTAACCCACCTGTGTTTTTCCCTGGAGAGTGAGCCTTTGCTACAGAGAAGGTCTGGGTGCTTCCCCTCTCCCACTGCCTTTTTTTTGTACAAATGTAATAGGTACACATTGTAGTTTTGTTATGGGGATATACTGTGTAGTGGTGTAGTGTAACCATCACCCAGATAATGCGCATTGTACCCACTAAGTAATTTCGCATCCATCACTTGCCGCTCACCCTCCCACCCTTCAGAGCCTCCAGTGTCTATTATTCCACACTCCACATCCACCTGTACATATGATTCAGCTCCTACTTATACACAAGAACATGCAGCATTTGACTCTATTTCTGAGTTATTTCACTTAAGATTTTGATATTTCTTCCCTTCCCCCTGCCATAGCCATAAGGGATCTTTCTTAGATCCTCACCATGGAAACCTGGTGTGTGTCCAGGTAGCGAAGCCCATGGACGTGTGGGCTCCCTCACGCCTCCTGCCATGCTGTGGTTTCCAGAAATTTCTCAGCCTCTTGCTGGTCTGCACTAAGCCTCCAGCAACTCAGACGACGGTGTATGTGCTTCCTCCAGTCCGTGGCTCCAGCAGCTCCTGCTCCAGGTACACAGACCGTGGTGGGTACATAGCTCCTGTTGTGCCTGTTTTTCTAAGATTTGGGGGTGGTGGTTTGCCCTTCAGTCTCATTTTTCTGATGAGTCTAATTTAAAAAAAATTATTTTCAGTTTGTTGAGCTTCTAAGAATGGATGGGAGTATTGACTTCCAAGTTCTTTATTTGTCAGAGCTGAATCAGGAAGTCTTATGGGTTATGTTTGAGCTTTTTTTTTTCACCTTTGGTTTTCTTGTTTGACTGAAGTTTTCTGGCATGCTTGCCTTTCCTTCCTTGTTTCCTTCCTTCCTTTCTTATTTCCTTATTTCCTTCCTTCCTTGCTTCCTTCTCTCCCTCCCTCTCTCCCTTTCTCCTCCTTCTCCATCCTACTTACAATTAACTGAGAGCAATTTGTAACTGTGAACTGATTTACTTTAATTTATTTATTTTCTTAATTTAGAAAATGATGACCCATTCTGTCATCACTTTTCTTTTCCTGTCCCATTCTTTTTGTTTCAGAGACTTAATCGGTTTATCCCGTAAATTCTTTTCTGCTTATTTCAAAGGCTGGGCCATCTCTGTGTGTGTGTGCCTGTTAATTGCACTTTTCTCTTCATTATGGTTCCTATTTTTTTTTTTTTACTTCTCTTCATGTTTAATAATTTCTAACTTTATAGTGAGTTTGTTGGTTGTTGCATTGTAGAAACCCTGGATTTTGATTTCTTCCTCTACAGGATGTCATATTTGTTCTGGGAGGCAATGTAATCACTAGATGAACACTTCCATTTAGTTCAGTCTTGTCTAGGGACAAATTATTTAGCTTTTGCTCTTAGCCTGAGGATGAATCTATTAGTCCTAGGATGTGATGTGTATTCCCACTGTGTGACTCTTTTTGGGTTTCAGTGGGAAGTTTGAGGCATTCAGCCCGCCTGTCTAACTTGGTGAGACTTTCATGCCAAAGCCCAAGGGAATGAAAAATGGGAAAGAAGTGGAAAACTGGGAAACCACAATGGAGAGAAATAAAGCAGTTAATAGAATAAACACAGAAGATGATCTAGGCTTTGGATTCTGTAGAAAATGTTCTTCATCAATGTCATAAAGTTCTGAGTCATTATCTTTTCAAATTTTATTGTTTTCTTCTCTATCTTCTTCCTCCTCTTTTTCTGGTAGTCAAGAAACATCTGTACTAGTCCAATTCATTCCCTCTGTTCTCTCTCCCCTGTTATTTTTTCTATACCTTTGTCTCTCCATCTTTATGATAGGTATTTATTTTCTTTCTAATTTATTTTCCAATTTACTGATTTTCTCATCAGCTATGTCTAATCTGTTGGTGAAATAACATTGAATTTATCTCAGTTATTATTTTGTCAGTTCTAAAATGTTTTTAATCCAAATTTTAATTGGTTTTTAATGTATATGCACACATACATACACTAGTGTCTGTTGTGTATGTGCATGTGTGTGTGTGTCTGTGTGTGTGTAAGTGTCTACCTATTTAAACAAGTGGATTACTGTCCTTTCTTGGGCAAAGCATATATATTTGGCCAAATATTTACAAAATTCAAATTCAGTATCTTTGCTGTAAAATGTTTACAAGTTTAGAACAATGTTTACAATAGTAAGAAAAAAATTCTTATATAACACTTTAACACCTTTCATTCATGTAAGTTTATTTGATCCTCATAATCTTATTATGTGAACTAGTCAGTTATTCTTAGTCCCATTTAAGAAATTTAGCAACTGAAAATCAGAGAAGTTAAGTGATTTTCTGTTTGTTTCCTTAAAAACATTTGAATACAAAATTTCAACCTTGTCTTCTGTTTTAAGTTATAGCTATTTAAAATCTGTGTTGAACATCTATGCCTCCTTGAATTTTTTTCTATTATATGTTTCTGTTAGTCTTCTTTTGTGAGCTTTTATTTCTTTAAGTGTTTTTCTGTTTTAAATCGTGTCTGGATATGGTATTGCCAATTTGTATGAAAGGATATTAGGTCTAGAATATTATTGCTTTCCTTCAGTGTAGATTTACATTTATTTTGCAAGATGCTTAGCTACACAAACAATGTGAGATTACTTCTGTCTAATTTCAGGGCTTGAGATTGTTTTAAATTGAACTGAAATACTGTGAGAGTCTGCATTATATTGACCCTTGTTCTTAGGGTGCAGCCCTTGGGAATCAAATCCAAGAGAAGGACTTCACCAGGATACTTCCTGCATAGAGCCTGGCAGGCTCTGATGCTAATCTCCATCTCTTTAGCTTTAAGAACATTTTAAATGTGCCAACATGCACCTTGGCCACTCAACTTCCCCTGAATTTGGCATATGTCCCTAAAGAAAAGAAGTAGCCTAGAATGTCTGGTTCATTTGCCATGTTACCCACATCTGAGCCTGGTAATTCTTTACTATTTTGTTGACTTTCTTGTTTTTGTATTTTGCACAGGTTTTCAGTTAGAGAGTACGCTTAATTATCAAGCCCACTGTTATTGGAGGCAGAAATCTCCTAAACTTGCTTTTATAATGTAGCCTTAGTCCTTCTTTTAACACTAATAATTTTAAACGTTCTTCTTCCATAGTCTTTGACAAATAGTTTTATTACATAAATTATGGATCCTGTTCAATGTGTTTGCTGCTGACTCATAGAATATAGAATTTATAGAACCTTTCCCCTTCTGTGTGTGTTTTAATGTTTGCTTATGAGCTCATTTTCTTCCTTTGTTCCAATTTTCTCAGGTCCTGAACATGATACTATGATATTATTTGGATTTTCTTTGCTTGAAAGTCCAGGACTTCTGCCAATTTAGAAATTAAAAGTTACCATGTTGGCCGGGCGCGGTGGCTCAAGCCTGTAATCCCAGCACTTTGGGAGGCCGAGGTGGGTGGATCACGAGGTCAAGAGATCGAGACCATCCTGGTCAACATGGTGAAACCCCGTCTCTACTAAAAATACAAAAAATTAGCTGGGCATGGTGGCACGTGCCTGTAATCCCAGCTACTCAGGAGGCTGAGGCAGGAGAATTGCCTGAACCCAGGAGACGGAGGTTGCGGTGAGCCGAGATCGTGCCATTGCACTCCAGCCTGGGTAACAAGAGTGAAACTCCATCTCAAAAAAAAAAAAAAAAAAAAGTTACCATGTTGACTTAGCATTCCCTTTACACATGAAAACATTAAATTTAATCTCCTAACCAGTGTCTGGTACTGATGCTGCTTAATTTCTCATGGATTGAGATACATTTTTCCATTGTATAGTCCCAGTGACACATAAACGTCCTCATTGCTGTCATAGGCTTATGAACACTGTTCTTCTAAATCTGCTGCTGAGGAAGAAACCCTTCATGGTGTTGAATTTTTGCAGGATTCTAGATTATAGCTTTCATGGCTAAGAAGACATGGCTACATCTTCTAGCCATTTAGTCTCATATCCAGTTGCTACATCTTCATGTTTTTCTGGGGCACAGCACACTCTCACATTTTATCTCCCTGACTTTGAGTTCTCTTTATATGTCTAGTACCTGAAGACAATCTTTCACTGTAAGTTTGACTACCTTGGTTATTATTTATTTATTTTGTTGCATCTAATTTAGCTTCCATTTGTCTTTGTAGTGGAAGAAGGATACAAATTATCTCAACCCCATCCATATTCGGGGACTTAATTTGTAAATGATATGTTTGAATTCATTGAGAAAGGTAAATATGATACAAAGTGCTAAAGGAATAAAAACTTCATAGCTGTTGGAATCCAAGGTAATGGCTGTAGAATGGCGTTATCACAGGGCACAGGGCGGGTTGTGCTGTGGAGCTCACCAAGCCAAGTAGAACCTGGACAGTAATAGTCTCTACCATATTCCTGTTGGAAACACCAATGCAGTTTTAGTAAAATAACACAATTTATAGTATTAAATTCAACAAAGGCATGTAACTAATACGTTAAGATTAAAATGACAATTTAATTTGTCAACTTGTTTTCGTTTTATAGCTGCATAAAAGCTACAGGCATAAAGATTTCCTATTTGGATTTATTAGTATTTTTCTAAATTTTCAAGTATCAGTATACTAAAAATTATATTAACACTAGAAATGAAAAGGCTTTAATTGAAAGTAGTATACAGATTAACAAGCTTGCATAAATTGTCTATACCATAAGAACCTTGGAACATACATGGAAAATGTTTTCTGCCATATGTTTCAAATTGCGAGTTGTGTTTTTATACCTCTATGCCAACCTAAGTTAAATAGGACTTAAAAAAATCATCTCAGCTAACTACGAAATGAAACAAAGGAGCTAAAACTGATGATTGAATTTAAGTCATAATCCTAAGTAAAATTGGGTCACAATTAGCACTAAGTTTTTGGAGATTCCGGGCACTGGTGTCTCGTTTACGGTGTCGGACCATGAGCACAAGTGTGTGCAGAAACCGGCTGGGCAGAGCTTGGGAGGGACAGGGATGAGGAGTGGCTATCAGGCACTTCTTAGAACTCCCTGGGGTTGGTTGCGTCCTTTTTGGGGACCTTGGCCCCTGACTGGAGAGAAGGCAGAGAGAGCCTGTTTTGGGAGAGGTGGAATGCTGCAGTAGTTACAATATTTGGCAAGTCTTATGGCAGAGGCCAGAGTCTGCAAAATCCTCCTTTATTCTCTTCCTCTTTACTTCTTCTGAAGCCACTTCCCATTTGTAAGGTTTTTTTTCTCTGCAGTACAGTGTGGGGAAAAGTCTGGTTGTAACATTTCCTTCTGAACCCCTGCCGCTTCTCCCTTTACTCTGTGCTCTCTGGACCCATTCCAACATAAGCACAACAGCACAAAATCTTAGGAGATGTTCTAAGGGCCAATTACTTTTCAGTACAAAGAAACAGAAAGAATAATTCCATAGCCAGTAATGGAAACGTTGCACATTTTCACCTAAATTTGGGTCCTCTTTGCTCTGTCTTTGGTCAGATGGAAATGAAATCTTCCTGTGTCTTCCTGCTTCCATTTTTCAAGACTTTTCCACTTGCTTGTGTTGCTCCTGGGGCTGGAGCCCATCTGTTTCCTG